ATCTAAATCCATTAATTCAAAAATTTCAATTCCGTCCGTATCCCGCATACAAAATATTTTATTAAAGCTCATCCAATAAAAAATTTTATTCAAGTCCATTGGTCCGTCTCAACTACACTTTAATGAAATTTTTAATCGATTTTTTTTCCTCCTCAATCTAAACGCCTCCAATGAGAAGCAGAACAAACGAGAATTGATGATTAATTATTATAAAAATAATTTTTCTTTATGGCTATCGCATCATATGATTTATAAAATCGGAATTGAATATTGTCGAATAAAAGAATTTTAAAATTGATGAGCCACTAAAAATGTAAATTGAAATTGAGACATTAAAATGCAAAATTGGAGACCTTTTTTCAATAACAATGCGAAATGTGATTTTTTTAAGTGATGGAAAATGCAGTCAAAAATAAGAATTTCAATTCTATAATGTCATATGAGTTTAATGTGTTGAGATTTGATGGCTTTTATTATTGTTTGCTTGACACTTTATATTCGCGGGTGAACGTGGAAATATGAACGTTTTTCAATTAATGTGTTTTGATTACTTGAGGATTAGGATTAGTAATCATTGCTGTCTACCACATTACCTTAAGATAGAGAGATTATGCTTATAAATTGGAAGCAAAACGAGTATTTGCAGTAAAATATAAAAAAGTAAACATTTAAAAAAGTATCTTTTCAGGATTTGACTTTTTACATATAAAAACTTTATTATTACAATAGTAAGGATTTGAACCTTATAATTTTGAAGTTATTATAAATTTCTTTCAAACTCGTCAACTTAAAGTGCAATTATGTTTTACAATTTGAAAACCTTAATACCCGAACATTAATATAACTCCTTTAAAGAATTGAACAAAACAAATACTCATTTTATTCCGAAATCTCGAATCATTAAGATTAAAAAATTTAAAATTAAACCAAATAGATTTAAAGAGTCAAAAAACAACTGAAAATTCACCAGAAAACCCACTCAGGACCCCACAAAATGAGCACACACCAACTCATAAAATTCAAAAATAATTTTTTTATTATCCTCAGTTAAAAAGCATTTCAAATAATTTTTAATAAGAAAAAACATTAAATTTCAACAGAGTTTGCGAATAATCTCCTTGCAAAACCTCAACATTGCAAAAATGTCTGCCCCGAAAATCTTGCACCTCAAAAATGTGAAATAATATTTAAAAAAAATTTACACAAGCTCATAACTTACTCCTCACCATTTAACTTATTCTTCTTCTTCCTTCATAAATTTCTTCAATTTTTATCCACTTTAAAAACATCAAAACAATTTAAAGTCTGTAGAAGTAAAAATTATTATTTGTTTTTGTAAATAAAAGGCACACCACAGAAAATTAAGATCTATACGACATAGTCTCATTTTCTTATTGTGTTGTTTGTGACTCATCATGAAAATATTGCACAAGATTTCGGTTCACACATGTCTTGAATTACATTCTTTTGTACTCTTCCTATAATTCACCAAAAAAAATAACAAAATAAATGAGACCTCAAAGGGACTCCGTGTAGGTGAATTGTCAGGAAATAATAATGAATACCGCACAATAGGAAGTTAGATGGCTTTTATGGTCAAGCTTATGAGTTTCTCATGAAGATGATTTTTTGTTTTTCGGGTAACCACAGTGATGAAACTAAATATTCAGTGCAAATTAAAATTATTTTGTTTTTTGGGATGAGTTAAAGTAATAAATTTAAAATATGTTGTTATAATAATAATATGAGTAATAATCTTGGCACGAAAAGTCATTAAAGCTCATGTGTGTTGCATAATTGCAGCGATTTCTTCATCACATCATAAATGCAATAGTTTTTAATTTTTTGCAGAGCAAAAAAGTTGGGCTTGTTTTGTTGTTGAGGATTGGTTTTGGAGCGCTTTTGAATAAATAACAAAAAGATATCGCAATAAACAAATATGGCATATTTATTTAGAATTATTGGGATTTGAACCCTGTCTTTAAATGTGCAAGTTTAATTATGCATTCAGATTGAAAATTGATAATGATGTGAAGGCAAAAATGATATATTAAGAATGATTAGTGTGGAAAATAGATCCAAGTTAAAAAAAAACAAGAAGACGTCATGAAAAAATTTTATAAATTATGACTGAGATTCGAACTCATACTTTGCCCAGTTTTCACTACTCTGAATCAGCGATGTTAACAGTTCCATATTTTCAATACAGCTTTTTGCTTTACATAAACAATTCAATCCCAAAATACATCAACCTAAACTCAACTCATTTCAAAAAATAAATCAGGACACACAGATGGACAATTACAACAATCACTTAATATATGCCTCTCTGCAAATGAATTTATCAACTGTTGTTAAACTACTTTTTTGTGTCGAGTATCTTCTCTCAATTCTTCTTTCTCGCTTCTCGCTTGTCTGTTTCGAGACTCAACAATTATTCTAGCGTAAAATAGGTGCAACAGAAAAAAGTTATAAAAGAATTAAATGAAAAAAAAAATAACTAGAATTTCATGATCATGATGATGATGATGATGATGAGAATTTCTTGAATTTTTATTATTAAAGTTGCACTGTGTGATCTCTTTTTACAACTCTTGATCGTTTAATGTTGTTTAGTTTTGCTCGAATCTTATGCCTTTGTGCACATTTCTGCAACATTGTAGGCTTAATTGCAGCCTTTTTTTTTTTGTTTTGATGAATACTTTCAGACATTAAAATGATAACCTTTAAGTGTGTTTAAAACATTTCTTTGTAGTTTTTTTGTTTTCATAAATGGCATGGATTTTTTATGGCAGACTTTGGATGCTCAAGAGGATTTTTATTGTCGCTATTTTGAAATTATCATGTCAATGGAAGTTATTATGAGTTAAGAGAGAGTTTGAGTTAATTTTTTATGTGAGTTTTGGTTGGGTTTGGCTGGTTTTGATGGATTTTGTGGGTTTTTGTTTTAAATTTTGATTTTTAATAAAAGAAAAAATTAATACAAAATAATAAAAGAACAGATTAAAGAAAATAATAACATTAATGCTGGAAGGGATTCGAACCTCTGCAATAGCAGTTTCAATTTAATAATTAATAATTTCATAAAATGTATGGTTATAATTTAGCTAAAACCTTTACTTATTGTTTAAAATGCTTTAGAATTAATCTTCAAATTATAGAATGTTAAATCCCAAAATTATATAACTGAAAAAATCTGAATTAATGCAATTTAAATATCACAACAAAAATATTAAAAGTCAATTTTGCATGTGTAACAAACAGTTGTGGATATAATAATCATGTAATTTTAATTCTATGTAAATTTTGCAATATTTTTGCGGTTAAAAAATTGTCATCATGGAGAAACTGTTATGATTTATTAAACTGCAATTGTATAGCACAATTGAGTTGTAATTTATTGATGGATTTATAGCAAAATAAAATTATTCTGGCTTTCAAAAATTTGAAAAAAAAATAAATTTCTTAAAACAATTGTCAGTAAAATCATTAAATAGCAAATAATTTGTAGGGCTTGAAACTTGCTCTCAATTTGATATTAATCCCAGTTCTAATTCAACTTTTGAAATCTACAAACCTAATGACAATTTAACTCTATAGTAGTCATCAATTTCTTCATAATAAATTCAACCCAATCTTAGCGTCAGTAACTCAAAATAAACAGAAACTTTTTTAAAATTTAGAGCAATACAAGATCGAATGAATAATATTTCCATACAATTAAATTAGCTAGCTGTTGAAAATAATGAAATATTAATTGTTTATTGTTTGAGATATAAGGAAATTATTTATATTGCACACTTTTGTGGTGTATTTCGTTCAAGCGATGTTTATATACTTGTAAAATTTATATACAAATCGTTTATATACTCAAGTGTGAATGTGCTATATATTTGTAATATATCATCCCGAGTGTTATTCATTCTGTATGGTTGTAGACGCAATTGAGTGGATTGAAATGAGGTTTTGTTGTTGAATTTTTAAATATTATTTTTTAAAAAAATAGGAGAATTTTTTAAGTTTTTTAAACTGTGGTGAAATTTATCTTTCTAATCAATTTAATATTTTGAAATAAAAAAATAATATATCTTTAAAATGGCAAAATTTGAAAACAAAATTATTAAAATTTTATAAATATCTCAAATAAATATTAATCATCAATCTCTTTTCAAAAGTAAATTTCGCATTAAATAACTTTTAATTCATCCTCGAAAAAATGTCAACAAAAATCTTTAAACAAATATTCACAACAGCAAATCACACCGGTTGACCGACGGCAAAAAAAATATTCAAAGTTGTAAAAAGGAAAGAAAGAAATTTTGTTCATTGACCACGCTGCTGTTGATTGATATGAGAAAAGGTTTTTTTTTGTTTTTCTTTTGTATGCGCGATTTTTGAGGATAGCAAATTAATGAAGTTAAAAAAAGTTTACAGGGAGTTTTTAAAATTTATTAAAAAATTGTGTTTTTGCAGAAAACTTTGTTATATCGTTTAAATATTATATTTTAATATTTAAAGTTTTTTGTACGAAATTCCAATTTAATTGTCGTTATTATTTAAGATTATTAATTAGATTAGTAATAAATTCTTGAAATTTAAAAAAATCTTAAAAATCAAAACATTTTTATTATTTTCAAAAAATGGTCACAAGAAGTTGAAATTTTATTTTCAAGTGAAATTATTTATTATATTTTTTACACATTTTTGAAAAAGTAATCAACAACTTTAAAACCTTTCATTCAACATAAATTCTTAATTTACAAAACTTCTTTAATTTATCAAATCAATATTGAACATTTCTCAAAATCTTCTTCAAACATTTATTCATAATTTTTTCTTTCCAATTTTTCCACAAAACTTTCCATAAACAATTTCTCAAAAATCCATCAATTTCCAACTTCATTTTCACATCTTCTCAAAATGATATAAAACATGATTAACTCAAAAACGCACAAAAAATATTAATAACAAGTCAAATATACACAAAAAAAATTATTAACCTTGTTCATGAACGGAATTTGATTCACTATCGGCATTATTTTTATATCCAATTGAATCAAGTTGAATCATTTCTCGACTGTCTCGAGATTCTTCGAATTTTTTTTGATTTTTAACTTTTATTTTATTCTTCTTATTTTTTGAGATTCGCTATAAACTTTGTCTCATTTCTGTAATCACTGATTTCTTGGTTCACTGTTTGCACTTTTTTTTGCTTTATTTTGTCAAGAATTTTCACAAATTTTTCTTCTTTTCACATTTTTTCTTCACTTATTTTTTTGTTATAATTTTTTTTATTTAAAATATTATTTTTTTTCTGTGTTTATATTTAAAAAGTTGTACAATAATATAACAAAATAGTTTTGAAAATCGCGATGCGAGAAACACTCGAAAAAGTCAAGAGAACCGAGCGTGATAAACCGACACGTTTACACGAATCAACGGAAAATCAAACATTGAATATTGTTATGATTTTTGTGAAATATAATTCCTCTAATATTTTTCTCTGTCTTTCTCACTCTCCACATGTACACAATAACTCCCGTCACACAACTGTATATATGCTATACACTCACGGCTGCTGCTGCTGTGGTGTTGTGTGTTTGTCTTATGATCGAAAAAGATAAATTATAGTGAAGGGAAAGGCAAAAATATTATTATTTTATGATATTTTTTTTTCTCTCCTCAAAATCATCTCTCAATTTTTTATATTTTATTTTTTTTTGGTCCGCGCCGCGCGCCTCGTATTTCTTCATGTATCAATACACAAAAAAAATATATCGTAAAGAAAAAAATTATTAAGGAAGACGACTGCTTTTGCTTTTGCTACTATATCCACTGAAATGAAAATAAAAAATACTAACGAGTCAGAATGCTGTTCTGTGTTTAGCCCACACTCATTCGGTTATGAATTTTATTTTTTTTTCTTTCTTTCTCTTCGCTCAACACACCAAGAAAAGCATATACACAAAGACCGACGTCGAGACGATGAGCTGAATAATATAAAAAAAATATATATTGTGTGTAGAATTCACATTCACACACATATTAAATCATAAATATTCCTTTCCTTTATGCTTCTTTCATTTCACATTCTTTCTTGACTTTATTCATGTTTGTCTTTGTGTGACTTCTTTACTTCTGGCTCTCAAATTTCTCATGCGCACATAAAACTGCATTTTCCCCTTTACTCTCTGCTGACATGATGTAAACTCACGCACACAACTTTGTGGATGTAAACTTAGTCATCCCCACCACTCTCTCATCCACAAGCAAATGAGAATCTTTTTTTTTCTCGGGGCACCAACACATGTGTAAGGTTTGGAAAAAAAACGAATGAAAAAATTTTTTTACCGCATTTATTATTTTTTATGATCATTTATTTATTTATTTTTGCTGTTCTGTCATAAATATGGTTTATATGTGTATATCTGTATAAAAGGTGGAGCATCATTTTGACTTGGGTTATTCAATTCTTCATACACACATGCAGGCATGTATATCAAATATTATTATTTTAGCTCTCTCTATATATATATATTGGTAGTTATTGGTAAGGCCAAATGTGAAGATGTGAGTGGATTTTCTTTTTGTGCAAAAAAAAATTTTAATATTTTTCTCTCACTTGAATTCTTCTTTCCTTCCTATCCGTGAGCTCCTCTCACAATTTTATTCTTTTTTTTTCATTCCATGAAAAGCAGTAAAAAATGTGAAGTGTATTAAAAAAAATATACAATAATTTTACTCGGGTATAATAATAATAAAAGAGATTTTTGGGAGGTGCTGGAGGCGAACAAAAAAAAATGATATTTTTCAGAATGAATTTTTATTTGTGGTGTTTATGTAAAAAAAAGTATATTTTATGTATCTTGTTGGTGCTGTTTTTTGTGTTGTTAAGGATTAAGGACTTTTTACATATACAGTGGCTGTTATTTATTGATTTACTGTGCTGTAATTCTTCTTTTTGTGATAAGAAAATTTTGTTACTTTTCTATGGCTGGGTTTTGACAAAATAAAGTGTGAAATAATTTTTTGTGGAATTAGTTTTTTGTTTTCTTATTTAAAATTGCTTTTTATTGATTATTTCTCAATGAAATTTAAAAAATTTTTAAGATGTTTATTTCTTTGTATTTTTGAATGTTTTTAAATTAAAGAGAATTTTAAATTGTTTTAAAAATAAAATGTGAAGTTCAAGAAAGTCAAAAAAAATTATGGATTAGTTTATTAAATTTAAATTTCAGGCTTCAAAAAATTTAATTTAAAATTATTAAAGTAGTTTTAAATATAATAAAATAAATAATCCCTTTTTAAATTACATGATGATAAGGTGAAACAAAAATAAGAATAAAACCTAGTCGGTTTAAAATTACAATGTTGTTTTGAATAAAAAACAGTTAAAATATAAAATTCTACCTTAGTTGTCATATTATTCGAAACCTAAATTTAACATTTAATAGAATATGAAATTGATTTTTTTTAAATTTATTAACAATTTTTTTAAGTTTTAAAATGTTTAAAAACTTTAACTTGTTTTTTTTAAAATTGATATTAATTTGAATTATTTTATTAAATACAAAAACAAAAGATTTGAACTACAAAATCACGCTAGTATTCTATTTTATTTGACTCGAGCGTCCTTAATAACACAACCAATTTAGGAATTATCCAGTTGATAGACATAAATCTTGATATGTCTATGATATTTATTTATTATTCTGAACATAAATCTAGGAAATAATTTCTTTACATAAATAAATCATTGTAGAACCTCAAATTAAATTCACTATTTTTCAAAATTTCTTCAATACAAACACTCTTCAAAAATGCTGCAAAATATGTAAATTTTCCAAAATGATAATCATGTCTGCTGCAAAACACACCACATCGTATGCTCATAATTATTCCAATACCATCAACATATCATCCATTACGGTAATTCTTTAAAGACATCTAGTCTCAAACAAAACAACCAAAAAAACCGGAGAATCTTCTTCACCCTTCCCTTGACAATTTCGTTTTGTATTGTACTTGTAACACAAAAATAAATGAAATGAAATAAAAAGAAAAATCATTCCAGTTATTTAAAGAGCAATGACTTTTTCTAATACACGCATTTTACAGTGAATTTTATCGATTTTATTTTATTTTTTTTTTTTTGCTTATTTTGGAGTAGAAATTAAACTTTGGTCGAATATAAAGCGTTGAAAATTTACATATTTAGACGTAAAAATAATTGAATTTGTTCATAATATCAAGGTTTTGTCATTTGTTTTGTAATTGGAACAGAGTTTGATGAATTTCTGAAAATATATTCAAACTTCAAACAAAATAATAATAAAAAATCAAAAATTATTAAAATGTAAAAATTGTCATGAATTTCAAAAAACATCCAAAATAAAAAAAAGCTTTAAAAAATCCACACATCACTGATTTCATGTGTTATTTTTTTTTTCAGGGTCGCGTACAGAATCAATCAGATGTGTTCCACAAGAGCCACATATAAAATGGGTGAACATTCTGTACATTTTGTTGTTCCTAGACGAGAGACGCTTGTGGATGAATTCATTTCAAAACTGCATATTTTGGAAATTTTCATAATTTATAAATTCAAAGGAGCTCTTCAAAAATAGTGTTGTAAAAACTTTTTTACGGGAAATATTGAATGAGGAACTAAACTGAAATGTATGTAAGAATTCATAGGCATGAAGTGATTCATCATATTTGTGGAACATTTTGCAATGTTTTCTGGGTTTTAACAGTTTTTTGCAATCTTAATAAATCATTTTTAACCCCTCCTTATTAAAAAATCATTGAAATTTAAAAATTCCCTCCAAATATTCCAAAAATCCTAATTTCAAATCTAGTTGCTATCCAACAAACCACAAAACCAATCCCATTCTTATCTCAAATCCAGCCATTTTCATTTAAAAAATCATAAATTATAAAAAATTATTAAATCGATTTCACAAATATAATAATTTATCTGTTTTATTCACCAATTAACAATCTTAAGTTGCAATATCATGTTTAAAAATTGCTAATTTATTCAATGAATGACAAATAAAATATATAAAAAAATTTTATCCATAAAATAACACAGAAAAGTTAAGTATTAAGAGCCCGGCTGATAAGAAAAATGTTTTTTTGGTCGTCTATTTAATGATTTTGATTTCTATTTTTAAGAGGTGTGTTGTTAAAGAGTTTGAATTGGTTTTATGACACATGGACTTGAGTGATGGAATTTTGTGAGATTTTTAGGTTAGAATTAAAATTGACAAAGTTGAAAAAATAAAAAATAAAAAATAAAAATAAAATAATTTCAATAAAACTTTAATTTCTTTAAAAAAACACGATAAAAAATACTTAAAATGATTTTAAAAGTTTAAAAAAATAATTCAATCCAGTAAGCCATCAAATTAGATTTAGATTTGATAAAAGCCTCTCCACATCTCCCATAAAATTCATACTTAAACCTCTATAAATGCAAATTATGATGACATTCATAATACTTAATAAAGTCTAAATGGCGATCCATTATGTCATAATCTCAAAACTTTTAATTGCCACAGCAAAAAATGTCAAAAATTAATAAAAACTTTTATTAATCATCCAAGCAAATTAAAAAGCTAAATGGCAAAAAAAAATCAATAAAAAAAATTTTAATCGCAAATTATTTCCTGATAAAAATGTTGATTAAAAGACTTTAAAGTCAAAAAGTTTCACAAACAATTTTTGTGGATTTTATTTTTATTTTCGAAAAATTAAAAACTTCACGCGAGAATCAAAATTGAAATCGAAAGTTGTTGGATAGTTTTTTTTTAATTGTGCACACACACTGGTGGTTAATGTTATTGGTTACCGCTGTTGATGAGCCACTCGTTCATGATTTTGTTCTACATTTTTTTTAAAATAATTTTCATTTTGCAGACTCGCCTCAAACAAACACCTAAAAAATTGAATTGTTAATGTTAATGAAAGAGAATTTGAAATGTTAAATGAATTTAAATGGCAATTAAGTTGAATGACCTTGACTTGATTTTTCTATTTTTGGAGAACAGAAGAACGTTTATTTATTTTATCTTGAATAATGATTTTAAAATTCTTTTAAGGGTTAGGTGCATTTTTAAGGTTATACCAAAAATTAAAGCTCATCATTTTAACTGTCAAAGCGATTTAACTGTCAGATGCTACATCTTAACAATTCTTTCCCCAAAATAGCTTCTCAAAAAATTTGCAAACAAAACCTTGAACATTACAAATATTTTTGTTCAACACCTAATCGAGTTCAACATCCCAACATTCAAAATATTTACAAATAAAGTAACCAAAAACTGTGAAAGATTTCAAAGCACAAACAAGAAGAAATTTTACCCAAAAAAAAGTCGACGACATACACATAACCAAGAATACGAGCAGAACAGACAATTTGAGATTTGAAATTAAATTTTATTTACTCAAACGCAAGAGAAACATACAGACGTACAGAATATTGTAACCCTCATCCTTCTTCGATTCGATTTTTCGCTAAAAGTTTTTCTTTTTTTCGTGTCGTCGAATTTTCCAAAAACAGAAGAAAAAACAATGAGAAAGAAAAGAAAGCAAAAATTACAAATGTAAAATTGTAATTGTACGTAAATAGATTAGAGTTGATGACTGCTTTCTTGCTCTTTGTTGTTCATTTCATTCAACTTTTGGTGGGGATAATGAAGATTTTTGGTTGAGATGAAGACCCCGAGCTACACATAACCATAATTAATTTCAAGTTTTCAGGAAAACAATCAATATCTAAACTGACGAGTTGGTGGAATGGTGAGGAATAAAGTTATAGAGAACTTACCAA